GAAAGCCTGGCTTCTTAACACAAGGCTGTCTCTTATCCCACCACTTCCCTCAGCCCCAGCGAACAAGCACCCGTTTGTTGCGGCCTATCCTTGAAGGAATTTTTCAATTTAACTTTTTATCGTCTTTTGGAATCGACACCTTATTAATCAGACATTCTTTCAAAGAGGAGGAAACTTCAAAGATTTTACTGTCGGAATAACCTTCACAATGAAAATCCATGGCCGTAACCGCGATCATACCAGCCGGAGAACAAAACAAGATATTTCAAACAAAGAGATAAAAAGGCTACAAAGTTTATGAAATATTAGTCCGGAATTTCTGTAAACGCAGCCATTAAGCTATCACAACCCATATCCATCTCATTGTAAGTTTCCACTGTAAGTTGTACAAATCCTAAAATAAATGCAGGCTTCAGTTTCAATGGAAATCCTAATTATGGGTGAGAGGCCGAGGCTTAGCATAGGCCCCATTAGCTGCTAAAGCAGGAGGGATCCAGGCATCAAAGCAGCTCAGCATGGGCCACTCAACTGAACTAATCTCAGCCTAACCGCCCAGCACTTTACCCTGTCGCCTGAGACCACGACTGCATCAGGACCACTCTTCACAGCCCGACAGCTGACTGAATTAACTCCGATGCCCTTTGTTTAGTTAAACTCATTTCCATTTCTTTCTCTCTCTTTTTGCTATCTCTTTCTTGCTGTTTTCCATCCATCCATCTCTCTCTCTCTCTCTCTCTCTCTCTCTCTCTCTCTCTCTCTCTCTCTCTCTCTCTCTCTCTCTCTCTCTCTCTCTCTCTCTCTCTCTCTCTCTCTCTCTCTCTCTCTCTCTCTCTCTCTCTCTCTCTCTCTCTCTCTCTCTCAGAGTCTTCCCCTCAGCTCTCTGGGACTGTGGCTTGGCGGCTCTCAAAAAGGTCATTAATTATTTCTGGTTAGCTGTAGGGTTTTTTCGCTGTGTGTGGCCGTCTGTTGGCCTGTCTGTCTGTCTCTCTCCTCCTTCCTCTATTTCTATGGTGTATTTCACAGCGATTCTGTCTGTTTATAGTTTTGACACATTCAGATGCCAACTTTCCTATCCATCCATTCTAACCTTCTGTCTCCAACAATAGCATCTTTTTTATTTCTTATTGTCAATTTCTGTTTTATGCTAAACCCTTAATCTGCACAGCAGTTCCTTCTCTGTTGACAAAATATTAACTTAAATCTAATCTGTGAATCATATGAGTGATTCTATAATTGGAGATACATTTTGCATTTCAAAAAGTTAAGGAAAAAAACCAGTATCTTATTGAAAACATATTCAATTGTAATAATTCGGTGCTTGCCAGACACAAGTTTTTTTTATATATTTTTTTTATATATATTTTATTGATTTTACACAAACAATAAACAAACAAGCCCAGCTATTACCAACATACAAAACAGGGAAAAAAATAAATAAATAAAATTCACACACAAATTGCACATCACATGTTACATCACATAATCTACAATATTATTGTTTACAACAAAACACATACATAAAATAAAATAAAAAATAAAAAAAGGAAATTTCAAAAGAATTTATGACTTATTGGTGAAAACAAAATGTGGTCTCCCATCCTGCAGCAAACCAGCAAGATCACCAGGAAGGTAGTCAAGAAAAGGTTGCCAATAATTATAAAACAAATTGGCATTGCCCCTTAATATGGCACTGAGGCGTTCCAAAGGAAAAACCTTAAATATTTCTCTGTACCACTGTGTGACCGAGGGAGGTTTTTCCTCAAGATTTTTTTCTAAAAAAACCAAACGATTTCTTTATAGTATTGTTTGTCAACTGTTACTGTCAATTCTGTTACATACTGTCAACATTGTTACTCCACCTTGGTAACAGAGTTTGACTGTAACGAATTGACAATTCTAAGCTTTAGCCAAAAACTCCATTCGCTGGAATAAATGCTAAGAGCACAATGCACATAGCACTAATGAAATCATGATTAAAAGACTTCTAAACAAACCACTGTGTGATCAGTGATGTGGATCTACATCTGGCTCTTTGGACATTGCTGGTAGTCCCCACTCTGCTAAAATACCAGATGGAAGATGGATCATTCCAGGTTGATCTTCCTACATTCCCAGTCCAGTCACATTCTGTTCTCCTTACTGCAATTAGAGAATGTCTGTGAGACAGCATCATCAGGAAAGGCTGGGATTGTGACTGGGCCTAAAGGAGGTCACCATCTGTTTAATCTGTTTACTCTTGTTTTGCCATGTCAATCTCACCTGATGTACTGCATAGACACAGAGCATGAGGAGTGGGCAAAAGGTAATGAAGGATGGATGGAAAGTCAAACAGAATAGAGATAAGAACGGAGATGCAATGAGCATGTGGATGGACCACATTATTACACAGAGAAATAATCAGATTTATGCTGTCCTGGTGTCCACAAACATTTATAATGTCTTCGGATGGGTATGCACCTCTCATTTAAATTGAACCAACTGCTGCCAAATAACTCTAGATTTATGTCTGCTTTTGTAGATCACACGAAACTAACCATTTAACATCAAAGGAAAGAACAGAATGCAGGGTACAATGGGACATGGTGTGCTATCTGTATCCGAGAAGGACATTTTATTGGTTCTTGCTAAGGCCATTAGTGGAGTCATTGTAATGTGTTTATATATATACATATATACATGTATACACACTACCGTTAAACAGTTTGGGGTTGTAACTTGCTGTTTTTGAAAAAAGTCTCTTGCCAAGGCTGCATTTGTTTGATCAGAAATACAGTTAAATCAGTAATATTGTGAAATTATTAACATTTTTAAAATAGCGGTTTTCTATTTTAATAATACATTTTAAAATGTAATTGATTCCTGTGATGGCAAAGCTGAATTTTGAGCAGCCAGTACTCCAGTCTTCACAAATCACTCTAATATGCTGATTTGTTGCCATTATCAAAGTTGATAGAGTTTTTTCAGGATTTTTTGATGAATAGAAAGTTCAAAAGAACAACATTTATTTGAAGTGGAAATCATTTGTAGCATGATAAAAGTCTTTACTGTCAAAAAAGTATGTCTGACTTGATATAGTCTCGCGTAGCCAGACCTTCAGACTGACAGCTGAAGGTCTGGAATTCATAGCAGCTTTCTTTGGCCAAGGCCCGCCCATAAGGCCGTTTGACCGACATGTCAAACAACCAATTACAGTTCGTTTCGTTCAGCGTCACGTTTCGGGGCGTGGAAATGTCCCCACAACAACAGACCGGCGTGTGTGCAACAAGTCAGTCAGCATAGAAAATCAAAGAAGGAGAAGAAAACTTCAAGAGTCTATGCCGTGAACCTCGCATACTTTTGAGAATCCTACGTTTAGCTGATCTTGATAAATGCTCATTGTCACTCATGTAAACACAACAGTTTTTCTTCCGCAATCACACGTCTGCACTTTGTTTCCCGGCGGACCGAAAATAAACGCGACACTCGCGCCCCCCCGGAAATCTGATCAAATTCAACCAATCAGATGACGACTTCGACATTCCTGAAGTGTTTCCAGTTAAGTGTACCATATGCATCAGACGTTTAGCCAACGTTCCGTGGGCGTGACGTCTGAGGCTGAGACTAGACTTGATACAGCAAATATACAGTATATGATGTGTAAAACCGGTATGACTTAAAAAAAAAAAAAAAACGATCGTCGATTTAATCGTTAGCATCCCGAACCCAGTAAGGCGATAAAAAGAACTCTAGGTGCTAAGTTCAGTACTCACACACTGAGCAGCGGCTTGTATGTGCACGCGTTTCAGGTGTGCACGCTTAAAACAGGTGTGTCTCTCAGACAGCGTGCATATACCAAAATGAGTTCTCTTTCGCTGCTTATTGTGCTTGAATGGTTTAAAATCACTTGTTTCTAAGGCTTAAAAACGCATTTAAACAATACGCTTTTGCGATGGCACCGAACGTCATAGGGGCGTAACCCAAAAAATCTCTACCAGTTGACAAATTTCTACCGGTATATCGCCCACCCCTAGAATGACATGAAAGTAGTAAATTATCAATTCTGTCAACATTTTTGGTTGAACTATCCCTTTCTCTATTTTCAGTCCTTTGCCTTCCGGTGAATCATGTGCAAGGGTCTGATGAAGTCAGGAATGTTCTTATCTCTTATGTATCTCTCTCTCTCTCTCTCTCTCTCTCTCTCTCTCTCTCTCTCCTCTCTCTCTCTCTCTCTCTCTCTCTCTCTCTCTCTCTCTCTCTCTCTCTCTCTCTCTGAGGATGTGCTGTGGCTTCTTTATGAGTGAGGGATCGAGAGAGGGATGGAGACATTGAGGGGGTTGCATTCTGATCCTGTAGGCTCTGCCACATGTTGTGCCTCTTACAGTAGTGGAGCTGTTTACACATGTGTTTATGTTGCAAATGGCTGGCCTTCCATCCAAAATAAAGAAATTGTGCATCGTTCATTGATGATTCGGTCATCTTTTTATTCCCCAAACTCTTTCCGCTCTCCTCCATTAGACCACAGTCACGCTGTCGCTGTACTAAACCGTCGGGTCATTACAGACTTGCTCAAATGCTATGTTATCAAAACCAAGTTTATTGTTAGTGGTGAAATCACTCCATAGTGCTATACACATTTCAAAACTCTAACTCTAGGGGGTGGGAGTCCACTTTCGTGTCGGTTTCACGCTCTTCTTGTTTAGGAGATCTTCCCTCGGGCCATCCAGCTCACAATGACACTGCTGTGCTCCACAGTTGGCTTCAGTTGCCTGCTGAGTCACTGCGGTGCAACTCTGCATCTTCCATCCATGTATGCTTTAGCCCAGTCACTCAAACGTCACAAATCAACCAAAGATTGTGAAATCATCTCAAATAAATGAACACATCCATCTTCCTCACAGCACACAACCAGGGCAGCCAAAGAGGTTGTGTTTGCAAGTTTGAGATCATATGACATGATTTTGCAGATCTTACTCTTTATTTTTCAGTTTCATGACAGTTTGTTTCTCTCGCTCTTCTCACAGAAAGGCAGTCCAGGAAAGTTCTCCATGAATGTACGTCACAATGATGATGACAGACCAGATTCCGCTGGACCTGCCGCCACCACTATTGAACGGGGAGGTGGCCATGATGCCGCACATGATTAATGTTAATGGGGATGGATCGCAACAGGTGAGCTTTACTCCGGATGATGCTTGAATTGTTAATGTATACCTGGAATGCAATTTATGCAACTTTGCATAAATGCCTCTGTTAGATGCATACATACACTCTAAAAAATGCTGGGTTGTTTCAACCCAAATTTGGGTCAAATATGGACAAACCCAAATGTTGGGTTAAAAATGTAATAAAAAAATGTACAGTTGAAAGTGAAAGTTGAAGTTGGGTTACATTTTTAACCCAACATTTGGGTTTGTCCATATTTGACCCAAATTTGGGTTAAAACAACCCAGCATTGTTTAGAGTGTATAAATACAAATGTAAGCTGCTACACATTCATAGACCAGGGATTTTTAAAGTTGTCGATGCCATGATGGAGCTCTAAATAAGATGATCCCATTTCAACAATGTAAAAAGTGTGCGTGTAGAAAGACCCATTCAGAAAACAGTATCAAATAACTTGCAGTATTAAATAACTGAATTTTATATTTTGATTGCACTAGATCCAAAATAAATATAATCTGGAAATGTTTATGACGTTAATGGAGTGAAACATTGTAAATTCAATTTATTTGTAAAGTGCTTTTCCTATTAAAATATTAAAAATATTTTCATGTATTGTTGAAATATTTCAAATATTGTTTCAAAGCAACTTTAGAAATTGATCGTGGTAAAGATGATGGTGGTGAGAAGAAACAATTGCAAACAAGATTTTTTTTTTTTTTTACTTTATGAACAGTTATAAATAAATAAATAAACAAAGCATCTTTTTACAAAACTATATGCAGGCATGTTTTGTTTTTTACTGTTAAAATGGGTTAATCAATTGATTAATTTAATGATTTCAATTATAATTAATTACAGAAAAGATAATTTTTCCATATAATAAATTTCAGTCACATTTGGCTTTACAATGACAATATTTAAACCTATTTATTAAATTTTGCATTCTGCAGATGATTTAATAAAACAACGCTGACTTAACCAATGGCTTGAGTTTGGGACAGGATTATCTGACCAATAGCAGACGTCCAGCAGTGTTCAGGAAACCTGTTTGAAGAAACCTGTCTTGTTTGGTGTCGCTGGCACATAAAATACACTCTTCACCTTTTAAAGAGGATCATTGCAAAAGTAATTTTTTCTTTCTTTCAGTTTTCTGTGGTTTTATGCCGCGCTGATGGAAAAGTTCATAAGTAGTTTGAGAGTTGAAAGTGAAAAGTTGACTTGCTTTGTAGCTTCTGGTCTCCCTAAATTAATTCTTTCTCACTAATTCCTGATGTAAAACAAAGCCAGATACATCCATTCTGAACCAGATCTGTATTTTGGTCCATGAGGAATGTTGTTGTCATCTTAAATTAGACATTCAAGGAGTGCAGTGAGCCCTCAGGCATGCTTCACATTTCCCCTCGCACATCTCTCTTTTGATCTGCGCTATCAGAGCGGATCAGTGTGTTCTGATCTCCTCTCCAGGTGCTGCAGATACAGCGCCCCGGCCGTGTTTCCTCCGACCAGAGCGGAAAGAGAATCAGTCCCTTGAGAGATAAGGAAAAGGGCGTCTGCAGCAGATAGTGAAGGTTAAATGCTTTGGATTCAGCCACGTCCTGTTTCTCTGCATCACTGTAAAGAAAAAAGATGGCAGGCACAATGACGAAGTTGTCAGTATGTACCCTGCGCCCTTGATCAATTGTCACATTAGACTGCCAACATGATCCGATGTCAGCCTGATATGCAAAGGTGCAATGTTTGCGTAAGGTCGTGCCAGCGTTCATTTGCATTCTGGTGACGTTGCGCATCAGGAGAGTCATTTATCTGCATTAGGTGTGTGCTGGGAACGGGAGGGTGTTTGAACACAAGGTTTTCCTCTGGAAAGCCGGCTTGACTCTTCAGTGCATGCCGTCGTTCCCATAGCAACAGCAGCAGCAGCAGACAGTGTGTGTATGTGTGTGTGGAGGCAGGAAGTAGGTGCCCAGATCTCCAGGGCTGGAGCGGGGAGATGGGAGATCCGCCTGACACTCCACCATCAGGGCTGTGAGGAAACCCGGGGCTCGTGCGACATGGCGGGCCTACTTTTTCACATCTACAGGCACGTTTGCACTCTCAACAACCTGTGCACTGACAACATGATGGTAAGCAGCCTGGAGCAAAAGATGGCATGACGACCGGACCATTTCGAGGGGGTTTCACAACATCTGGTTGCGTCATATTTGCTTTCTTGGCAGTTGCGTTGACTGTAGTTCACTAAATGTTCCATGGATCATTTTAATTTTATGGATTGATGCATTTTAAGGATTTGCAACTTTTTTTTCCTCTCTCTCGGATTGTGTTTGCAGACAAAACTTTGGCCTTGTGTCAGGAGTTTAGAGTTACACGCCTCTCTGATTTCCACTTGTTTTCGCAGGTGATCCTTGTGCAAGTCAACCCTGGAGAGACCTTCACCATCAGAGCAGAGGATGGATCCCTGCAATGCATTCAAGGTATGTTGTGCTTCCTGTCTCATGCAACAGGTTCCTCCGTCCCGCCGTCTCTGGAGCTAGTTTCTGGAATTGTTCCGAGTTCGCATATATGTTGTGCGTTAGAGGATGGTGCGAAATGTGGGATGGTGCCGCTGTTCCCTGTATTTCTGTTTGTGTGGTGTTCTTCTAGCTAATCGAAACCATGACTAGTGTGTTATTGGATTTGGAGCTGGTGTAAACCAATGAGAGGCCGGGCGCAGGGCCACGACTGGCATGCTTCTGAGGAGTATACAATGGCAGATTACAAAGCCTCTTTGTCTCATTACCCCTCTTCTTTAACATTCAGTGTCTTTGTAGCTAATTATTGATGGACACGATGGATTGTTTGCACACGCTGCGGTTGGGTTCTCTGAACAGCTGTGCAGATAAGGACCGTTCTCGCTGGGGAACATTAGTTTAAGAAGTTTCAGAATGTTCTTGTGTCTTGCTGCCTTAGAAAATTTTACTGCAAATTTCCTTCGGGTATTTTGTTAAAAAGGCATGAATGAGCCCCATCAGTACGCCTGAAATATACCTTCATCGACACCAACATTTTGGGGTCATGAAGATTTTTTTTAATAGTAATTAATACTTCAGCAAGGATGTATTAAATTGATCATAAGTGAAAGTAAAAACATTTCAACTATTCAAAGAATCATGAAAAAAAATTCCATAACAGTTTCCATAAAAATGTTAAGCAGCACAACTTTTGTCAACATTGATAATAATAAGAAATGTTTCTTGAACACCAAATCAGCATATTTTAATGATTTTTGAAGGATCATGTGAGACTGAGGACTGGTAATGACTGCTGAAAATACTGCTTTGCCATCAAAACAAATTACATTTTAAAATGTAATTATATCATTTAAAATAACCATTTTCTCTTTGAATAAAATATATATTTAGAGGCTCCATAAGAGAGTTTAAGATTCAGCCTTGCTGACAGACTTTTGCGAGTATGATTGCTTTTATAGAACCATTCTATACAATCAAGATAATCAATTATTTTTTTAGTTTAGACATTGGCAAGATAGTTTGACATTCTTGTTTTCCACTACTAAAATAGTTTCAAAAGAAGCCATAACATCAAGTGTCACCAAGAAACACAGAAATCCACTCCGGAGATTCAGTTAAACCTGAAAACACCCACTCTGACTTTCAACAGCCTGCTTCTCGCTGCAGGCAAAATCACAGTCCCATAAGAAAACACTGTCACTTAACATCGATTTCCTTGCGCAGAAGTGATCTTCAGGTTGCGGAGGCATAGATGAGTGGAGAACAGGGTGGATGGGCCGATGTTTTTTGGCCGTGAATGGCACATTGTTTTGATAAGGGACAGAAATGGGGCTCTGCAGGGCTTGGCAGCAAAATGTGTTGCCACAAGAATAAAACAACAGGTCACAGGCCATAGCACCGGTCCTGCTCGCTTCCACAGTGTGCCTTTTGTGTGTTCATCAACTATATATCTTCACCTGTGATTGCCTAATAGCTCTTTCTTGTGGCATCAATGCATTAACTTTCATCCATTGTAGTCTCAGCCACATTGAGAGTGTCCCTGTTTCTGCATTTGTCAAACCAGTTCCTCCTATAAGAAAAGCATCAATGCTGTAACTAATGTCTGTACTTGACTTTAACCTCTCCCTGTAAAAGGTTAAAAACAAGAAGGAAGTACTTAGGTCAAGCCTTTCAGGTCGTGCCATTGTGTTGGACAGAAGCACACAGGAGGCACATCCGACGCTTAGTGAAAAGGCACGGCTTATGGCATCATGGCGTTGAAAAAAGCAACCCAGCAAAACAACGAGGACAAGGTGTGGTGCACGGAGGAGAGGGGCATTTCAAACGCACATGTTTACAGAAAAGGTCACTGGGTTTAATTAGAAGTGTCGACTGAAGCAGAGGCTCTGAAGTAGCTACTTTTTACAGAGGCTTCTTTGTCATTATGCAAACCTCAGAGCAGAAGCCTAGATTTAGGATTTTATATAAAGTAACCACTGTTTAGCCCGTGGACCGCTGGCAACGCAAGAACGCACAGAGAAAACGTTTTGAAAAAGCTCGGGCCAAAATCGCATTTGGAGTCAAAAGATTTCATTTAAAGGGGTAGTTCACCCAACAATCATGATCATTTTGTCATCATTTACTCACCCTCATGTCATTCTAAGCCTCTGACTTTCTTCAGCGGCACACAAAAGAAGAATTTGAGAAACGTCTTAACTGAATTTGTCCAAATTGCTAGTCAATGTGATCCAAAACAACAACATTACAATATCAGTCATAGCAAAAACATTTCTTTCATTGTTTTGTTGTACAGAACAATGAATGAATGAATGAATGATTAAATAAATGATGATAGAATTTTAAATATGAAAGTTTGTGTCTCAGTCACGTAATTTGACTCTAGGCCCCTGAAAAAATTGAAGTAGGATAATGGAAAAGTGGAAAGAGGAGGATGTTGGGTAAGAGTTTTATAATCAAGGATTCTTATTGGTCGCTTTCCGTCCTCCCTCATCATCATCTTTCGCATAAACAGTACATTTTACTCTTCCCACGTGGAGATCCCACTCATCTCCTATTTTCGACTCACTTAGATGAATGTTGTGCGATTTATTTTTAGCATGTTAAGCCTCAACTTTTTAACCCAACTTTCTTAATCTTAACCCTTTGCCTGCCAGGTGCCATTGTTGGTCTTGCAAGCGCTATTGTCTTTAAGTTTTTTGGCTGAGTGGCAGGTCATTACGGCGCTCAGTCATATGTTTACTGGAGTTTCAACCCGCTCCTATCGCTGCTAATTAGAGTGGAAGAGGTTGAACTGTAATCTTTGTCTTGTTTAAACAGGGTGACCTTTTTCTTTTTCCAGGGGACCGCTTAACAAGTCCTTTCTCGGCAGTAAGGCTGCTTCGTGCTGCTTTCCCACACTTTTGCAAATGGAGGGCTGTCCTGTTGTTTGAGTTCAGTCTGTCCTGGGTTGGTCGTTGTCTGTTTTGTGTTTCTGTGTTTGCGCTGTGTTTTTTGGTTTGTTCCGAGGTCAGGGCAGTATAAATGTGTTATCTACAGTATTTCCCCACTGAGGAAGAGCTCAGTTGTGTTTTGACTAATCTAGCTGAGAGATGTGGTGTTTATGAAGGCCTATTGGGCCATGGGTAGATAAAGCGAGAGTTTTGGGGTTAACTGGGGACACTGGTTCTCTTTGAAGTGGTGATCCATCATCCATCTGTGAGCACTTCCTGTTTGTCATTTATTCAAGGACCAGGCCTGATCAGCAAGCCACTCTTATGCTTTTGGACAGACATTTACCATTTTCATTTGTTTTCCTTCTTTCATCAGTATCTGCTGATAAGGCTAACTGTTTGGGTATTAAGAGCAGTTTTTTCCGTAACCAGCAAATTACACAATGGCCTTCAAGGTTGTCAGAGAGTTGGGGGGGCTGATGTACAAACACACCTACTATTATAGCAATGAACTCTAAGTTTTCACACGCAAATAAACTCCACGTTCCTTTTTCAATGTTAAGTTGTGGATATTTTCAGAAAACAGTTTGCCCCAATCGCTCCCCAGGGCACTGCAGCAAAATGGCTGCCCACTGCTCCGTGTGTGTGTGTGTGTATACACGGTTTGCAGTGTGTGTGTGTTCACAACTCACTTCTCCTAATGTGTGTGCACTAACTTGGATGGGTTAAGTGCAGAGGATAAATTCCGAGGATGGGTTACCATACTTGGCCTTCACGTGGGCGATCTGACGATTTTATATTGTAATCGATCTTGAAGACGTCCACAATCTAATTTATACGGCATTTCCCACAGTAGACTGGATTTTACTAGTCACATTACATGATTTGACTGATTTGGACGTTAACCCTTAAACATGCAGCGCGCACCACAGGATTCATACTCTTTAGTCTCTTGTAGGAGGCATGAGAAATAATTTTTCATATAAATTCTGTTATCATTATTATCATATTTGAGTCTGTTTGACTCATGTTAATGGTTAATTTTTCATAGGTGTAGAAAGTTGTACTTGTTGTTTGCTTGTCACCAAAACAACCTTTTCCATAACCTGATTTACATATTGTTGTACATGGGACAACACTGTACATGCTTATTATGCACAGTGATAGTAAATTGGGGACATAATGCATCTCTTTAAATAGGAACATAAAATCTATAGTATACATAGATTTTGCAGTGCTTTCTTGCCAATTGAATTAAGATTTCATAGTTGAATAAGCTTGTAAGTCCTCTTCAGTCCAACGTGATGAAATTACATAAAAAGACCCAGTATCTGTGTCTGTACTGTGAGTATGTTTGTGTAATTAAATGTGTTTTATTGTTTCTGCTCTGAGGAGCCATGGAGAAATGCTTCTCTGGTGTAATTACAGCTTTTGCTGAGAGCACATTATTCTCATCTGCACACCGTAATTTAGCAATGATGCACAGCAAAAGAGTTGTAGTCAGCAAGCGCTGAATCTGATTTTCGGCACAACAAACACCAAAAAGATTAAATTTATGCCTCGGAAAGCATATAGAAATTAAACATGCTGAATGAATTTGTCAGGAGCCAATGGGAGTCAATATTGTCCAGAAAAACAAAGACCATAATGAGGAGGCAAGACATGATGCGTTCTCTGACCGAAAGAGGACAAAAGTGTTCTTGTCCTTGCCATCGGACTGTATCTACAGTGACTGAAGGTCATTAGCTATCTTTAGAAAAGCCCCATGAATGGCTATTGTGGCATGAAGTGAGTGACTTTCTCAGTTTACCATACTCCCACAAAGCACAGAGACAGAGAGGCAGACATTTCATGCCACAGGCTCCACCGAGTAGGAATGGACTTGAGCACCTGGGTAACAGCAATGGACTTGAGGACCTGGGTAACAGCAATGTGCTTGGCTTATTTTCAGTGTCTGTTGAGTACTCAAATAGTAGAAATTTGTAAAATACACATCCCTTTAGGTCTCCTCCTTGTGCATGTCTAAGAGACACA